TGCTGCGCCTGCCGCGAAATCTGCACTTCGAGGTTCACCAAGTGCTGCGCCTGCCACGAAATCTGCACTTCGATGTTCACAAAGTGCTGTACCTGTCCCGAAATCTGCACTTCGAGGTTCACAAAGGGCTGCATCTGCCACAAACTCTGCACATCGAGGGTCACAGAATGCTGTGCCTGCCACGAAATCTGCAATCGAGCCACATGTCCGAAAGTCACGATTCACTGCACCTGTCACGAAATCTGAGCTCTTCGACGATCACCGCCATGTCCAAAGTGCTGCCCCTGCCACGAAAACTGCACTTCGAAGTAAAACAGCTCCTATCCCTTGCACCTGCCACGAAAAGCCGACTTTGAAGCACCAAAAACACTAGGTTTCCCTTGCGCCTGCCACGAAAAGTGATCACCATGTACCAAAATGCGCGCGGCACCACAACGAGAGCGCGGTCGCGACAAGCACACGCTCCAGCCACCCAGATTCTGCGAGCCTGCGCAGTCGAAATGCACTTCGAGGATTTCGAGAGGCATGAATGTGCTGTAAATAGCAACGAATTAGTCATTCACGCCCGCGCGCTTCAGCGATCTAAGCATCAGCTGCTTTTCACCTACCGTAAGAACCCCTAGTGTGTCCACACTGTTTGAGGAAATATATGCAAATCAGTCAAATCAGTGTCCATCATTTTCCACCTGTTCACGTGCAAGGAAACACATCTCTCTGCAAGACTCAATAGCTTCAAGGTGAAGCGTGTTTCTTGGAACCAAGCAGCCGTTGTTCATTTCAACGATGGTCTCGGTGGTGCGTTCCGCTTGCTCCACCAGCATGGAATCAATTCCCACCTTTCATGGTCTATCATGGTCTGCTACGTCTTGCGGATCCAACGGATCCACCTCACCGGAGTTGTTAGCTAGACACGGCCTGTCTGTCCTCCCAAAAGCCCTTTGCACTGCACCCAATTTCAAGTACCCCAGAAAATGGGAGATGACCCTATAATTATTGATCAAGCACCTGGCTGTGTATTTGAACAGGGAAACCCTCCACCAATGTGGTTGTTGTCTATTTTCCTTCTTCCAGTGGATCCAATGGGGGCCTCCCTATTCTGATACACACCCACTTTGTGCCCATTGTCTGAGGTACGAGTGCAGGGTCGACCCGAGTCTGAGAGGATGGCACTCACCAGGTTCCGGGCTTTCGTCGTCTCGGGAGTCCGAGTCGGTCTGGATTCGCAGATGGTCTGTCTGTCTCTATGGCTGCAAGTACCTTCTAAGAAGGTGTGGGTTTAGAGGGTCCTAAATCCGCTTGACGTCTCTGTTTTTAGGACAAAACTAGCAGCAAGGATATTCCCAAAAGGGGCAGACTCGGTGGATGGGTGTGTTTGAAAAGATCCGTGATCTGTTTATTTGTCATGCTCTGAATCCCCGGTGCGACCTCACCAAATTCGTTCTCAATCACGGCGATGCGCTTGCCATGTTGTTCACGCAAGATCCTGTTGAGCAAGGTGGTCTTGCCACTTCCCAAGAAGCCGGTGATCACCTAGGAAAGCGGCTCCAAAAGAAACCCCATCTTCCCTCACAAGAAAAACATGTAGGCATGGGTCGGGTCCAGTCGTACCGAACCTGAGAAGGTGGCAGTGGATCCTTATGGGGGTAAACAACCAGGAGTCCAGGAGTCACAAAGGAGTTGTTGATATATCCCTAGGGCTCCACCGACCCTGGCACCCACCTGACTCCCACCGAACCGAAAGCACGACTGGAGCTCTAGGGAGGGTATAATATGTGTTTACATCATAGTTGTTGGGTCCCATCCAGCGGGCATCCAGCGGGCACCCAACTCCTCCTTCCCAAAACTGGAGAGGCACCCTTGGTCTCCCATGTCTGTCGGAAGCATCGGACCCCAAAACTGGAAGAATGGACCAGGTCACTGTAACAGGCACTTTGGCATTCTCTTTTTCAATGCGCTGCTGATCATTCTCCTCCTTCCGTGCATGGTACCTTGCATCTGCCTCCTCGATCCGCTTCAAGGCTTCCGTGGGCCATCCCTGTCGGCCACGTTCTAGCAACTCCTTCGCCGGGTGCAATTCCGTTAGGGCTCGGCGCGGGGCGCCCATATCCAACAAGGCCTCAGCTCGCAGTAAGTAGCAAATCGCTCGTTCCCAAGGCTTGATGCGACGACCACGGCCAGAGCTGTGCACCAACAAAGCACGAGTGCTGAAGCCCCAAGCTTCTCCAAATCTGCGTTCACTCAACATCATTTCAGCAGATTGAAGGTTCGTGGCAAACTCGTCCCCTGGTACCACCACTGGAGGCTTCACATTGCCTGACAAGGTCTTCTTCTCATTAGTAAGCCCCAAGACATCACCTGACTTGGAATGTCCAGACAATGCTGATGGGCCACAGCCTAACTCTGCACAGGTGCCCATCCGTTCCGGATTAGCAGTGCTGGAGCTGCTTCCACCGCTGGAAACACTTCGCCCCCACCAACCCTGCTGCGCGCAGAACGGTGGACGTGGGGCCCAAGAAGGGGCCCAAGAAGGCCGCAGGAACCGCGCTTGACGAAGGGGTCCAAGCATGTCGGCATAGGTCAAATATAAAATAGAGAGCTACAGCTACCTGAATCAGCTTGAGCTGTTTCAACATGCCAGCAAGCAGGTGCCACGTAGAGCCAGGTGCCCCGATGGGTGCTGTTTGCTACATCCAATACTCAACCACCACTGCCGAAACAATAGGGACACCTTCGTTGGTGCATATGCTGCCACCTTCCGACTGGTTTGGTATCTACTATGGCTTGTGCTGGGGTCGACATCCTGTCAGGATCTAGTGACTGTAGTGGACCTGCAGAATGTTTGACACTTCGGCAATGGTGCTGGCAATCGGTGCTGGCACAGTTCAGGTGGACATCGAATGCTTGTTCATGTGTTTGTTTCATGGCATCATTGGGTGGGGAGCAACTCAATCCAACATGGAGCCCTCGTCCACCATGTAGCTTCACCTCCCAGGTAGGTCCACCTGTTTTTGACCGCACTCGAAGCTTCAAACCATTGCCCCCCCAAGTAGTCCCAACCACTGAAACCGCTGCCTCGCCCTCGTGTGTCCACATGGGGTTGGCACAAAAGTCAACGTGTTTGGGGACCTTGAGGAGGCATCGACGTACGGAAGTGGAACCGGAGAGGGTCATATGGCAACAGGAGACCTTGATTGACCTACCGACGGAAGGTCAAGCTACATGGTGGACCGGGGATCCAGGTGTTGACCCATGCCCATGTTTTTGGGTTGCCCAAGGTTCATGCATGTTCATGCAATTGCCAAGGCATTCCATTGGGCGGCATTTTGAGGATATACTTCATTGATATACATGTCATGTCTGTAACTCGAACAACAGGTGAAGGGATCAATTCAATCATTGCAAAGGCACAACATGGCACCTATCAACCTCGTGTGGCTTTTGACCTAAAGGGACCTCCTGTTCTTCTTTCGTTGGCCGAAAGGTGCCACCATGTGGACCACGAGTCGAAGAGTCGGTTCGACGTCCTACGGTTTTGTCTGGATGTTTCATCGGTGTTTTTCGGGGGGAAGGTGTAACTTCAAAGAGCTTGCAATCTCGATTCCATATTCCGTACTAGTTTCTTTCATTTCACAGTGTGAGATCGGTGAAGACTCCAAGCATGGCATTAACGACCATGTCCCATTCCCAATCGGAACACAACAAAACATCATTCCCACATGCACATCATGCGAGATTCAGGCTCCAACAACGTCCTCAACAGGTAGTTAGACCCCCCAAACCCACCAACCTCATCCTCGAAAGGTGGTTAGGGTGGATGCCAGGAGGGGTCTAGCCACCTTCGACTTCGGATGTGGGCCGGAAGCCCTACGGAAACGATGAGAATTGTTGATCACCTCTTTCACCCAAACATGGTGTTGGGGCTGCAGGTTTTTGACCCATCATCTAACCCACAAACCATCCAAAACCGGGTTGTCCCTGGCAAAAACAACATGGTGTTGGTATAGTTGTTGTTCTTTTTGTGGACACCTTGATGTGTCATGTGTTTCTTTTGGTAAAACCCATGTCAATGTGCAAACCGCATCGTCTCATTACATGCAACCCAGGACCCGAGTAACTCGCTCGGCGAACCCCACCGACAAACCGGTTGAGACCGAGGCCGAGTTCGGTGGCGATTCACCCGGTGAAACGGAGGGTTTTCAACGGGTGAAATCCAGAGGCGAATCCAATCAGAAAGGGATTAGTTTTGAGTCCAAATCATCGGCACCGTCTAAGAGTAAAGCAAAGGGAGGTGAGAACGGTGAGAATGGCAGTCTACCACACGACTTTGGTGGCAAAGTTCGTTCCGCCTTTTGCTTGGATCACCGAAGGGATAGCCACCCCTTGAAACCCTGGTTTCAAGTCTGAGACGCTATTGCTTATACAGTACCGGCGCCCATGAAAAATAGAAGGCATGACAATACAAAATTCATTATTAGTGAAGATCAGCCTTTTCACGGATTGTAGGCCCCCTGGTACATAGTACAGTAGTAATTTTGGACGCTTGGACGCTGATTAGTAATAGGGCCCTCTATAATGCTAAATGATTGAAACATAATTCTTGACACCCTGTTTGTTTTAAGGGTCCTCCATTATGCTAAATGTTTTGGGGATCCTAATTGTTTATTATCTGAACAATATTTAGGGTTATATATACGTATATGTCCTTTAGAAAAAAGAAATATTAATTATTTATACTACTAAGCCAATGGTTGGCTTGCTGAGAGTATCGATAAGTATAGGCAGTATAGGTTTCTATAGTTCTTCTTCAAGACTGACAGCTTCCCAAAACCATCAATTCCCCAATCAACCCTTTATGTAAAGATTGCTCCTAAACAAATTGTCAAGGTAGTAGACCAGGAAGGCCCGTGATCCTCAATAAAGAATTTTGTTTAAGGCTTAACTCAATTGTGCAAAGCTTTTTCCTGAAGGAACAACACATAGTAATTCTTAATACTACTAAGCCAATGGTTGGCTTGCTGAGAGTATTGATAAGTATGGGTTTCTCAAGTTATTCTTCAAAACTCACAGCTTCCCAAAGCCATCAATTCCTTAATCAATCCTTTATGTAGTATGAAAGGATTGCAAAGAATACCTAATGACAAAGAATTTTAGAAAGGAACATTAATACTACAATCAATTACACAAAGGAATCCTCACAGGAACCCAGATTTGTTTTGGTGGTAGAATATTATAGAGGATCTCCCATTTGTTTGAGGGGGGGGACCCCTTTTACTAATCAAGATCCAACATTATCTACTTATAACTTAAGCAATCCATGGGATGGACATCCTTACCGATGTAGGCCAGCAATGGTTGGTACACCGGGACTCCAAGGTCGTCACGGCGGGGTGGCGAAGCCGAAGGAAACGACTGCGGTAGACCAAAGCATCGACGACTGGGTGTTTCTCTTGCAAACGACTGGCGGATGACGTCGATTTCGCTTCCATGTCTTAAAGCGGGATCCACATTCCGAACGAAGGTGTTTGGGGAATGTGGAGAATGGATTACAATGCTGTACGTTGACCTCCCAGGGCGCCCAGGGATTCCACACACTGCACAAAGTCTGAACCGACTCGGGAGTGCACATTGCATCTCGAGCTCCTGGAAGGGCCAAGAGGGGGGAACAAACGGCACCCACCCCAACCACCTGAGGATATGGGCCAGGAGGTTTCAGGGATTCACTTCAACCCCTCAGTCTCCCCATTTCGACCCATAGCCCTCCCTCCGAGACACCGCTCTCCACCGCGTTCCTCGTCCGAGTGCCCGGGCATGAGGAGCTTCGCTTCGGATGAGCTGCCAAGGATGGAAAAACACCACTCCCGAACAGGCCCGAGTGACTGTCAAGTACCAACAGAGGTGGAGAGTGACCTGAACGAACGGACCCGAATGGCCTGGAGTACCGAACTACGATAGTCGAACTAGGGTTTTTCAACCTCTGCTGGTACTGGACCCGACAATGGCACCTACATGACAGTATCGAACACATCACCGTACCTGAGAAGGTACGACTGGATCCCTAGGGGAAACAAAACAACCACTGGTACCATACTGTAGCCATTGTCCGAGCTACGTCTTTGCGGGTTGACTCCAGGTCCCTGTACATGTCCTCGAGCTGCGTCTCCCAGCACTAGAACAAAAACGACCGTTAACAAGGAGGTGCATCTTACACATCTTGCTAGTCATGTTACAACCTAAACAAAATTGGAATATTGGACATTGAAAAGGTGCATCAGGGGATGAGGTGTCCAAAAAAAGCCACTTCTTCAACCGTCAAAGGTTTAACCATATGCACTCTCACAAATTCGCTGCTGGCAAGGCTAGCTAGGCAAAATCCTCATCTGCCAACTAGTTTCTTTGTGATTCTCTAGGCCTATGTTTAATCTTTACTGTTTGGGATTGAAAGAAGTCCACGACTGCCCGCCCTCTCACCACACTAAGCATGAGCAAGCACGTCAATGCCATACGGCAACGAAACCAAAGGTGCGAATCACACCGATCTTTTCGCATTTGCTGGTCCCTTGGGCTCCAGTCGTACCTCCTCAGGTTCGGTATGACTGAACCCTCCTGGCACCCTGGCACCCACCTCAAACACCTTCGAAACGAAGGCACTTGGAGCCCTAGGGTGTCTCATTTAGGTCCCCAAAATTCGGGAATTGTGTCACAAGTTTCCCCTGCTGCGAGTCAGGTTCTCAGCACGCGTTTCGCGACCAATCACGGCAACCCTTCCCGCCTTTTCCTTGACCTCTTCCACGGACTCACACTCTCCATACGGCGGGCCCTGCAGGCGAGAGAAAGCAGTCTTAGATCTCATCAACCAGGACTCCACTAAAGAGAAGTAGACCAGGAGTCACATGTCGGCACATGGAAGTGGAAAACCTACATTCTCTTTGTAGAGGGACATCGTCTTCCTTTCGGGGCCATGCCATCCACTTCCTCCAGGGAGAGATTCAGTGAGTGGGAGAGTGACAGTAGCTGTGAAGGAAGGAAACGAAGCGGCCTTGATGCCCAAAGAAGGGTCGCTTTAAGTATGTCACAAAGGCCTGTTGTGAGCGAGATTTCTTCTCACAGCTGTCTTCACTTGTTCTTCTCGTGCAGAAATCACCGTTTACAACAGGCCTCTACCCTCTGTGTGAACAAAAACCATGTTTTTCCAGACTAGTCAAGTCTCATCGACCAACTAGTCCCCAAAACATTGGTTTTGCTTGTTTGTGTTGTTTTGTTGTTTTTGGCTTTTATGACTCATCCAGATTAATCAAGACCAATCCACATTACTCCTGGCTAGTCTGAGTGATATAAGGCCAGGCCACGTTCATTTGTGTTTATTTGGCTGTGCCAAACTATATAATATAATCCTTGCATCCTAGAGTGTGAGATATACTTCATACTTCACATCATGTTATGACCTCAGATCATGAGAATTCATCTGCACATACCATTATGTGACAAACATGTTAGCTAAGTGTGATATATATTGTTTAATGTTCAATCCATGAAATGCAACGGGGTTCATCTCATATCACGAGACTTTAATGTGTGCAGTCCTTGCAGGCCACTGAAAGCCAGCGCGCGGACCGGTGAACCGTT